GAGTACAACATAGATATAGTTATGCATCCCGGTATTCCCGGAACTGCACCGGAGACCATCACAATTCAAGCGTAAGAGTGGGCGTAGATTGCTGAATTGCGTCTGGGAAACGGGTGGTCTTTCCGTGAATACTGATAACTACTCTTTAGCTTAAAGATCTAGAATAAGAATTAGGATAGTCATAATTAGGCTCTCACATGTATCGGACATGTAGTTTTAAGTTAGAATCCATCGCGGATTAATTAAGTAGTATATGAGTAATGTATCGCACATTAATAGTAATAAGTTTAAATAAAATCTTTTTAAAAACGTCCTGAGTCAATTTCGAATCTTGACTACATTCTATTTGTTTATTTATAGATCTGTCAACGTTAGCGTTCGCACTGTTGTTTTTTATGTTTCGCGATTTATTTTAAAACGTGTTTTTTAATCCGATTTAATTGGTAAACATCACAAAACACCATTGCTCCTAGTGGAGAAGAACGATAACTTCATATAAAATAAATGTAATTTATACCCCCTAACTCCGGCTATGGTATAGTAGACTACCTGCAATTCTCACGAGTGGCGGGAAAATTAATACATATTGATTTTTTTATATTTTATTTGTAGGAGGATTGTTAGTTTTATTTATTTATGTATCAAGAATCGCTTCTAATAAAATATTTTGTAACAATTTGCAAAAAAACCTTGCACATCTTGAATGAGGAACTCAATCGACAACAAACTGCAGGCACCATTAATATCTCTATTTTTTAAAAGTTGTGCGTCCAGCCCATAGACTTCAATCATTTATCTACGGTCCAGTCTTGAATTCTTAATAACTTGAATCCATTATTGTTGAAGTGCCTACAAATACAAAATTTAGAGTTAGAAATAAAGATAAATAAAATAAACGTTAACTTATATTTCAACATGACAAGATATCTATGAATTTGTTTTTAAACATTTGTTTCGCGTAACATATTTTAAAATGTGTTTTGTACAATAAAGTGTCAATCACATTTCACTACAACATGTTCTTTGACTAAGCAAACATGATTCGATACATTGTCAGAAAACAGTGTTTTAATCAAGTTTTTTGTGAATATTTCGTCAGTGCAAACCAGTGCAAACACACTGTAAGAACCACTATGAATTAGTCTGAGTGATATTTTTAACCATAGATACGGAAATAAGACCATTACGAAAGTTAAAAACGTTCGAAAAATAAATAAACCAAATCATAAATAAACCATTATAGGTATTCATAAAAGTAGACATTTCTTCAAAAAGTTAAAAATGTGCAAAAAATAAAGGCATTTTTTGTGTATTAACATAATACTCTAGAAACTGATAAACTTTTATAAAAAACTAACTTCTCAATGAGGGCATCCACGACTTTTTCTGTCACCAGGGCGGCGTTACTAGAAAGTGAGGTATAATGTTTGACAGATTTCATAGTGGGGAAGTTAATTTGTTAGGAAAATGTAAAAGTTATTGTTTCTTTCTGTGTTATTAGCTATATTTTATATCAATAACATTAAATATAAATGAACCAAACCACAGATATTCATAAAAGGAGAAAAATTAAAAATAAGTGTTAAAAATGTGCAAAAAATTAAAGAGCAAGACACTGACGCATTGTTTTGTGTTTTAATATAATACTCTAGAAACTGATAAACTTTTATTAAAAAATAACTTCTCAATTAAATTGCATTGTGTAACAAAAAACTTTACCTCAGAGTCAACTAGCGACATTTGGTGAACAGGAAATTATTAGCCCTCATCACTATAATTACCATAGACTTAATAATAATATACTGGCGTATAGACTCTCATACTAGTATAGTATACAGTTATCTGTGGTATAAACCGACATAGTGTGCAAGGGAGAAGAAAATTCCTTATAGCAAAAATGCAAGATAGAAAAATATACCGACTCTGTAACCGATTTTGAATGCCAGGTCGTTATAAATCGGCACGCAAGAAGTAAGCTCCTAAATATAATTTTTTAAAGTGTAATAGTGGTTTATTTATTCTTTAGTAAGTAACTTTTTTTCAAAAGTGACTTGTTCTGTGAGTGATTGTGGTGTTAATAATAGAAATAATCCTGATAATTGCACCTTTTACAGGTAAAGTCTCAAGACGTCGTCAATGTTATGACGCGTTTATTTTTGGTTAAAATTAATGTTATATACTGTTTAAAATATAGAATGATTTCAATTATTTTGTTCATTTTGATATTTTGCAAAGAAATAAGTCACGTTCTTGATAATTTGTATGAATTTGGTAAATACATTTTGATACAAAATATTTTACATGTACGATAGGGATTGACTCAACTATATCAAAATTAATGTCGATATTTATCTTGAATGTTTATATTGCATCGATAGACTTTCCCGCACAACAAGAAAATACATCCGTGGTTTGCGTTCTATAAATGTAATTTTATTTTCCCGTTTGTCAAACAAATTTCTTCTGGTTTCTATAATAAGAAAAAATGGTTAAGGTTAATTGGACGGGTTGGTTGGAATCCAAAGACAAACTCAACAATTTGCAGCAAACATTTACTTTAGAAGTATAAAAGAAAAAGTGGAATAAAAACAATTCTGTTAATAGCAGCCATTTCTAAATTATTTGTACCAGTAAGTATAATATTGTTATAATAATAAAATTTCAAAAATTTAACTTTCAAAACTTTAGATAAAAATAGAGATACATTTTTATACTTTACAAAAGTGTAGTACATTAAAGATCTTGAGAAAAATCTTGAGATTATCCTATTTAAGCCATTATGAACCCAACTAAGTATCTATTTATCAACCAAAAAATGTATAACCTTACTTCACCATCCGCACCTCATGGTCACACCAGTGCAATATTCATAGTATCACGCTATTTTCCCAGGGGATTTCGCGGAGCTTCGGTTAATATTCCCAAGTCACAATGATAAAACTTTTAGGGTAGTTAGATATAATATATTTAGTAATGCTCTTGAAGCGCAATTAGAAGCCCGCGCATGAGGCGAGATTGAGAGAACAAAGAGTGCATCTTTATCCTCAGACACTTGGTGCACTTTACTCTGTTAGGATTATTATATTTTTAAAATTCATGCAGCTAAAATGATAATAAGCTTATTATTACTTTATATTTTTAGGGACAGATGAATAGATATAAACATGAAGCATGATGAAGCGTCATAAACATATTGGCCTTTAAACAGAACAATCTTATCAAGTTTCCTTACTCAAATTATTAAGTTTAGATTCATATTTAAGTTGAATGTTAAAATAAACTTCTATAATATATTTAATTATTAATTATTGAATGTTTGTAATTATCAAAATAATACTTATATGAAAAGTAAAGCAGCCATTATGTACTCAGTGTCACCGTTTTTTATTACCCATCAAAATATTTTATAAAATATATAAACTATAAACAAGTATGTAATTAGTTAAGTACTATTTATATTAACAATATTAAAAAAAAAGAAATTCTGGGGAAACTGTCCATGGCAGTAAATATTTTTCTCCAAAAATCATAACTCGAAAATACAACTTTCCGATCTGATTTGAGGGTATTTTTTTTTTAAGTTTATCGGTAGAGACACCTGGGATTTTTTACATTTAAATGTGAAAAATCCTAGGTTACATTTAAATGTAAAAAGGTAGGTAGGTACAGCTCACTCCCAGGAACATGTTATATGAATATTTTTAATTATTTTAGAACTACCATGGTAAATATTCAGTTCATTTTTGAAGTTATTCAATTTCGTGCACTAAAATATTTTTTTTAAATCTTTTTACCGCTTCCTTAACAATAATTTTTCGATAGTCCTCGTAAGTAAAATGTACATCACTAGTCTATTCTAATATATTCTAAGTCTATGATAATTACATGGATATGTATTAGGTGTACGTATGCACCATGTACTTATGCACAAACGCATTTGCTGCATATTTATTAATATGTGCATTTCACTGGAAACGTCAAAAAGGGGTTTTGGCAAGAACAAAATTGTTTTCGAGAGTATGATACCTAATTTGTCAACATTGGAATTACATTGGATTAAAATTGACATTGGATCGAAATTGTTATTGGATTCAAGAGTAAGCTATTGCTGTTTGTCTGCTTCGGCGCCTTGAGATACTATCGCCAACTGTTTGCTGGCTCAACTCGCCGTCAAAATCTTCCAAAAACTTTGTAATGTGACACAACGTTATTGTGAAGTAGTGTACTATAAAGGATAATTATCACTTGATACTGACAATGAGATAAATGAAGACATGGCTTAAAGTATAAGCATCCAAAATAAAAATGTTAATAAAAAAAACAAGGAATGGGCAAGGGAAAAAATATATCGATTGAATCAATATTTTTAAACTGTATCGGTATATATCGCGTGATAAATATCAATATATCGATATTCATCACGCGATCATAAAAACATCATAAAATCATCATTTGCATGATGGTAAGATAAGATCCAAAATTTTATTTACTGACGGTTGGACGACGAAAAAAACTATACTAAATATATCGAAATTGATACGAATTCGATACTCTGAAATAAATATCGATATATCAATAGATCGCGATTTAAAATATCGATGATATATCGATATTTTATTATTAAAATTTTTCGATATACCGATATTTTTTGCCCGAGCCTAAAAAAAATGTCAAAGTGACATGACAAAAGACAGAGCTTGTGATAGCTGTTTGCTTTGCAACTCATAATACAATACGAAAAATACGAATTAAATCACAGCAATTGAACTAATTAAACTGATTAACTCATTTAATTGGTTGTGGTAAATTTATTAAAAGGCTGAGTGCAGTGTAATCTGTCTTTACATGCGAATTGTGATGTGCGTTGTTTGCGTTGCTTGACATGTACCTATGTTGGGAGAATTCCTAAATAGACCTTTCATGTTGGGTTTAAAAATAACATAGCAGTGTCGCGACGAATCGGGCGGCGGTGCCTGATCGTGAGCGTCGAAGTCCTCACCATGAACACGAAATCTGCATTAAATTTTACCATACTCATTTTAGGTAAGCCAGGCGTCGCTTGTTTGTACACAATAAAATACCATCCAGAAATACATCTTAAGTTTTTAGTAAAACTGACTTAAAGACATCAATCCATTATAACAATTTTACTTTCAAGTTTTAATTTCAATGAATATACATTTATGCTTGAATATGTAATGTCCTAGGTATGGTTTGTTTAGGTTGATGGATGTACCGGATCATGATTTGTGGCATTTCGTTGCGGAGGCCTATGTTCAGCTGTGGATTTTAATAATGATGATGTTTTATTTGCATGAAATGAATGAATATTGTATTCATTAATAAATCCGAGAAAGGAAACAAAATAATGTTCGATATTAGATTTTTTTTTTAATTCACTACTATTAAAATCAGTACTGGAAAATGAACTGGGTATCTTCTTTTTGTAATATTGTTTTGCTATAAATGAAATATTAATAAACCTGTAGAAAATCAGATTAGTTTATAAGTGTATTGAACTCAAGCAAACCAAAAACCAAAAGCATTGACCTAAAACAACAACATTGAACCATTGGTAACATACAAAAACAGCATTAACTATTAAATTTTACAAATTTAAGCAGACAGATCAATGTCTTGCAGGGGTGATAACTCATTTGCATTTTGATTCTTAATTCAGAATAGAAATAAATGTCTATAAAAATGTATTAATTTACTTGTACTTGGAACCCATAACATGAAAGTGCTACTACTAAAATTTCCATACAAAAAAATTTGTAGAACCTAAGTTATATTATTATTACTCCTATAACTTGCATTTACTATGAGTATATAATAATTATCATTTTATATTTGATTTAAGGTATACAAGGAATGGTGCTGGCAGCACCACCCATGGATGAAAATCTTCCTCCGAGACCAAAAGGTGGAGGAGTGGAGACACACTTTTGTGAATTTTTTAATGATTCAACTGAGTGCGATGCAACAAAAAATTCAAGTTGTCCACCTTCCGAAGTTAAAAGAGATGAATGTCAAGCAATTGAAGCTGGAAAGAGCAATCATTGTTTTACTTTGTGGTACTTTAACAATGAGACCAATAAAGCCACCGTCAAAGTAAAGGGGTGTTTCCTTGATACCGTAGCATGTAATGACAGAGCTTCAAACTGTACATTGCACAATGTCAAACTGCCCCTTCTTCATTGTTGCTGTGAAGGAGACATGTGTAATGAAAATGCAACGTTCCCAGGCTTGGAAGCTGGGGTGTTACCACAGACTGAATCACCTCCAGAACGTGTCCCAGCATCTCCACTACCAACTGCAGATGATGACACTGAAGCTGTCATTGCATATACATTGACACCACTTTTCCTCTTATTTGCTGTTTTAGTAGGCTGCTATCTCCTCTATAGAAAACGTAAAGGCAGCTCCTTTGCAGAATTAGCTAGTGGAGAGGCTTCATTGTCTAGACCACCATCTGCTGGAGCTGGTATGGAAAATGAAACAGGCGGATTACTAAGTCAAGTTACATTGTGTGAAGTACGAGCTAGGGGACGATTTGGTGCAGTTTGGAGGGCAAAATTAGGACCTAAAGATGTTGCTGTAAAAGTGTTTCCATTGCAAGATAAACAGTCTTGGGTGGCTGAACAAGAAATATACCGACTGCCAAGGATGGACCACCCAGACATTTTGCACTACATAGGTGTTGACAAAAAGGGTGACAATCTCCAGGCTGAGTACTGGCTTATTACAGCTTATCATGAAAAGGTAAATATACAATAAACATGTAAAAGTAAGTACTACAGCCTATATATTCCCCGCTATTGGGCTCAATCCTCTCATTTACTGAGAGAGTTTAATGAGCAAGAAAGAGTCCGCTGCGCTGTCCCAGTGCAGGTTGGCGTTATTGAAATATTTTATCTCTGACATGCAGTTTTCTTCACGATGTTTACCTGCGTCGACAATAACGTAATAAATCCACAATTTCATTTCACAATCAGAAATCGAACCCGTGTTCCTTGCGTACTGTGAAGTTTACGACAAGCATTTACTCCCTAAGCTAGCTTTATATCAGCAAAACCGATTACTGGGTTGAATTTACTCAGTGTCAAATTACTCAGTTCTGTGCAAATGCCCTACTAAACATACTCGGGATGCCGCGGTGATTCACCGCGCTCTTTAGTAAGTTTAGAAGTTTCCTGGGACTTTAAAATAATAAAAAAACACAGTAACATGGTAAAGGTAAATATAGACTGTATCATGAAAAAATATCAGAGAGAAAACAGCAATATGTTTGGATTTACTAAACGCCACTCAAATATCCTCTTGAGGCATAAAATATATGACAAGACATAAAGACATTTATTCCAACACATCTACACACATGACAAATTACAATTAAAAATAAAACAAGTGACTTATAAACAAACAAATAAAACTTAGAATAAAGAAAAGAAGTGCATCTATTATATGTGTATGCAAATTAAAATCGTGTGCTATGATGAAGTGGTGGAAAGGACCGTCTCAGCATGAGCCGCAAGCTTGCAGCACTGATTATCAGCCGGCCCCGAACAAGTTTGGTTTATCCCACTTTCCCCCACCAAACACCCGACCGACGGGACAAAGTGGACTCCCCCAAAATGTGCCCGTCTACCCTATATCTGCTATACCTATGATATATTCTTTCCTTTGCACTATGCTGTGCTATGTTACCTGCACATTAGCATTTTATTCTTAAACTAAAGGTATTATTAATATTCTTCATCATCATTAGCTGGTAAAAATTCTAGTAAGGCATGGATGAAAATGTTTCATATATCAGTTATTATATCTATTTTTATTTTTTAGGGATCACTATGTGACTATCTAAAGGCTCATACCCTTACATGGGCTGAAGCTTGGCGCATAGCAGCGTGCGTAGCACGAGGTCTTGCCCATCTACATGAAGAGGGTGGTGGGAAACCTGCTGTCGCCCACAGGGACTTCAAATCAAAGAATGTCCTCTTGAAAGCAGACATGAGTGCTTGCATTGCTGATTTTGGACTTGCATTGATATTTGTTGCTGGTAGAGGCTGTGGTGATGCCCATGGTCAGGTTGGAACACGAAGATACATGGCGCCGGAAGTGTTGGATGGTGCAATCAACTTCACAAAAGATGCGTTCTTGAGAATTGATATGTATGCTTGTGCCCTAGTACTGTGGGAGATTGCTTCAAGGTAAATGAATGGTTTTGATCATATATTATATATTAACACATTCTTTAGTTTCGTAAAAATCTATTGCAAAATCAAAACTTTACTGAACAGGTATTGAAATTTGAATTTATATATGTACACACATTTGCCTGTGATTTTGTCTGTGTAGAACTTAAACTATCTGCGATATATAGAAAACCTTCTATATTTGATTGTGCTATATCATCACAATCAGTTCAGCCAAAGTTAAGCCCATACAGGCAGATAGAGAGATATATGAGATTAATAGAAGTCATTTTATTACGATATTACAAACATACACTTTAGTTTTATTTATATAAATTAGTTTAATATAAATTAATAACTAGTTAAAAGAGTAAGATAACTTGCATAATTATAGGCTGTGGGATAGATGCCTAGATAATGCATCTATATTTTTTTTGTTTAAACTTAACTGCTAGATCATTTAATCATAACTTAAAATATAAAAAGAGTATTAAAATACCTCTTATAGTATTGAATAAAACTATTTTTATGGATTTTATCGCCATTTAATTTACTTATTTTAATTCCCGACGTTTCGGGTGTTTTACAGCAACCCATGGTCACAACGGGACTGACATGTTTGATGTCCCGATATCATAATTAGGTTACTTTCAGTTTTTGAATATTAATTTTTGATTTAATTAACCATGGGTTGTTGTAAAGCACCCGAAACCTCGGGAATTAAAATAAGTAAATTAAACACAATAAAATCTGTAAAAATAGTTTATTCAACATGTAGTGTTCGTGTAAATATAAGAAATCATTACATCTTATAGTATTTATGATTTTTACTATCAGATGTGACGAAGGAGGTGCAGAACCAACAGCGCAATACCGTCTTCCCCTTGAGGAGGAAGTAGGTTCCCATCCGGGATTGGAAGAGATGCAGGAGGCTGTAGTGCAGAGGAAACTAAGGCCGCATATACCACCGCAGTGGCGTGAGCATCCGGTAAGACTGATGAAATTACTTATTATGTTTAAACTTGCTTTTTAAACGCGGTAGAGCTATGCTGAATGATTCGGCTTGACCAGGGAAGAACCACGCTTTCACAGAATACCAGCGTAAAATAGCAGCTTAATGCTGCTGTGTTTCATATGGTGAGTGTAGAGAACTGTAGACCCAATTTACTGGAAAGGAGGCATTCTATCTTAGTCCTCAAGGCTGACAACACATCTGCATTTTAATTCGCAAAACAAAGATAGATGTAGATGTCTATGGGCCACAGCAACCACTTACCATCAGGTGGAATGTGTGCTCGATTGTCACTTTTATTATATTTAAAAAAAACTTCGTTACGTGGGACATGTCACTATGTCCCCAGGAGTGGAACTATTAGGCTAAAGGAATAGTGCAATAATATTAATTTTATTTTATTCTGATCATATGTTGAAATAAAAGCTGCAGCATATAATTGACCAACTTTAGTAGTGTGATGTATCTTGAATAGAAATAAAAAAAATTGCCATAGTTGCCACGTTCGACAGGCCGGTTTGCAACCTCGGTTTATTATTTTATCGTTTTTATTAAAAAGACGCTGCTGAACATCTTCATGTTTGTTTCCCTCTTTCGCCTCTTACGACACCCACAGGACGATATGGGGTAGTGGATTCTTAAACGGCTACTTCAATGACACTTACACACTATGTGTGCGTGTATGTGAGTGCGCGTGTGCGTTAGCGCGCCCTTGTATGTGTGTGTAAAAGTAATATGTCGAATGACGCATTTTTTACATCATAAACCCATTCCAAATTTAAATTCCGTACAAATATAAAAACCTTTTTAAATTGAACCAACTATTATTTTGGGCCAGACTTGTTATATACTTTCTTCTACTTATTATAAGCCAGTATCTGCAACTATCTGCATATAAATATTTAGTCAGAAAATTAAATAAATATCTATGTTTCAGGGTCTATGCATACTCTGCGATACTATGGAAGAATGCTGGGATCATGATGCAGAGGCTCGTCTCTCTGCTTCATGTGTTCTAGAACGAGTTGCAGCTCAACGGCCAGCAACAGCGGCTGCGCCCGCACCTCCCCCATTCACACATGACACAACTCCCCTCCTCATCCATGAGCTAGCTGATCTTCAAACTTGCTGACCAGTGGTACAAGATCTGCCCTTAATCGAATTTTGAGGGTATGAAAATTATCAGTACAATATTTATTTGACTATTATAATAGTGGATAAATTATTTGCTAACACAGTAGATCTTTAAGCCTTCATGAAATGAGACGATTCTTTTATAGAGAATAAAAACCTGAAAAAATTCTCATGTAATTCTATAAAACATGTTTTTTTTCACATATTACATAGTCAGGGTTATTTTACAATAACCAGCTAAATTTGCAGGGAAGGTTCAGAATAAGTAATGTACGCAAATGGTTAAGTAAAATTTATAAAAAAATCTCAAACAAACATTCTGTCCTTTTTATCTTTTAAATTCAAAATGCGTGGTAATGTATTATTTTAACTGATTGTCATTCATAAATATCTATTTTACTATGCACGAACACATTCGTTAGGGTCGATCTGTCGGCCAAAACGTGAATTGAATCGCACACAGAGGAGCGCTCATACGCGTAGTTGTTGCCCATAAATTGCATTCAATTTGGGATAATTTAAAATAAAAGTAGAAGCCTTATTTACTCGTATTTTCAAAACTGTAATATAACAGTATATCGTTAACTAAACTAGACAATTTCAAAGATAAGAAAATTCAAGAATTTGGTTGAATTTAAAAAGAAACACCTCATCAAAATCAATCAAAGGTGAACACTATGAATTTATTGTGAAATTATTTGTAGTTGAGAAAATGTCTTCTATGCTTCTACAAGCTTCTGTCCTTAACAGATCGTAAAGTTATGCATTATTAAAAAAAAATATTAATATAAATATTGCATGTTCCAAAAAGTAACAAATTAATTTCCTGAAATTTGCTATGATGAAATAGTTTTTTTTTTATAAATAACAACCATGTGTGATTATTTTTTCACTTATATCATATTTAAAAATTAAAAAATATAATATTTATTTAAAGATGAAAATAAAAACGGAATGGAGATTTGCAACAAAATCTCTTGGGTGTTACAGCTACTTCTTTCATCATTATTCATCTGTAGCTCATCATCATCAGCAATGTCTGTTGCTTGGTAAAGACTGTTCCAAGAATTCACTAGCATGAATTATTCGGAATATTAGTCCATATTCACTACGCTGAGTACCATGTTGGCTACTGTCAGAGCCCAATACCTTGGTTATTGTAATTCCACTCACCGATTGACAGCCACGTTGGTCTATTGCATAGACATAAAAAGAATGGACTGAACGTTAGTTTCAAATAATTGATATTCTCTAAAAAGAGACAAAGCTACTGTGCGGCGAATACCTTCTTTCCTGCAAGCCTATGAACGATACACTCCTGACCGATAGTGACGTGGAAGATCAGAATTTTAGAAAGGGACAACTACTGGCCGCGCATTCGCTTTGTCTCTCTCGCAGTTTACGGTCTGCATAACTGAATACGGAACGCACAGTCCATTCTCCCGTATGTTTATGGTCTAGTGACCGTAATAGAATCCCATGCCAGGCCTAAATCAGTTATTGGATATTGGATATTATTGTTCTGACAAGAAATTCTTAGTAGCAATTCGGAGTCAGGAAGTTGGCGGTGTTGCCTGCGCCAGATCTTTCTCCGGTCGTGTCGGAGTGCCGTCCCATCGGACTAAGGCCCGTATTAATAAACGTTACTCAATGACGAACTCAAGTGCGTAATCATTTGGTACGCCCTCGTTACGATATCAGCATCTCAAGATCGTTGCTAATTAATAAACAGTATCTCAATATGCTGTGCTTAGAAATACTATTCCGTGACTTGCACTTAAGTACACACACTTGAGAGTCGAGTTTCGTTTATTAATCAGTGTGGCATTCAGCTGATATCGTAAACCTAAACGGCATCTTGAGATATGTTTATTAATAAGATCATAACCTCAATATTGTACTCAAGTGCATGTATTTGAGCTGAGTAACGTTTATTAATACGGGCCTAAGAGAGTGAAGGAATAGAGGTGTGCTTACGCACGCACTCGTACACTATAATCTTTTCATACACAGGGGCTAGTCTCCATTGAGACAAGCCGCTGTGTATGAAAAGTGACCGTTTACTGCTTCTCATCACCAATCTGTGAAATTTGACCTCATCACTTATTGATTGAATTTCCATCAAAAATTGTTCTCTTGAGTCTTAAGTTATCACAAAATAATATTTAGAATCGAAGTCGCTAAAGCCATTAACACAACATTGTGGTTTAAGCTGGTGAGAATCGTGATTGAATTTGTTTCGCTTTATAAATTATTATATGTTCTAATAACGATATACAGGGTTATTTCGCAATAACCTGAACTTCCAAATGCAATCACTATACAATTGACGTCATTACTTTCAAACGAAATTACTTTAATCAGTCAAATTCAATACAAGCCTCTTGTCACGAACGTACAACTTAGACAAACTAATTCGAGGCGGTCTACACGAAACTCCAAATTCAATAGCAAATTAAACGCGCACAAACACTCAAATTCTAGACCCCAAAACCAAAAAACTGGTCGCGCGAAGCTGATGTAGCGGTCACAAAAATTCGCTAATCGACAGCGTCGCTGCTGTCAAGCTACTGACTTCGCACTCGCGTCCTGCACTCGCGCCCTCTACCGAGCGACCCACACGGGAGTCGGGCGACGGTGACCTTTACAAAGTCAGCGGGAGGACACGAGTGTTGAATGCAAATTTCAAATGTTAATTGTTTGGCCTAAACACCCATAAATCACATTCAATTTGGGTTGATTTTAAATAAAAGTAGAAGTCTTATTTACTCGTATTTTCAAAAACTGTAATATAACGGTATATCATTATTTATGTATTTCAACATAAGTTTTTAAATGCAATTGTTTTTATTGCATTGTGTAAACTTATATGCATTGTTTATAAATCGATTACTTTTTAATGAACACATTTTATTAGCGTGACCTTGAGTATGTACAAGTATGTATGTATTAATGTACTTTGCAGACATATTAAAAACCGATGACAATACAATAGTTTCATGACTATTACTTAGTATTCTGACCAGGACTATCGCATCTCATGATCAATGCTTGTTGTTTTAGTATTTTACTCTCTTAATTGCACGCCTCATAACGTACGACATTGAGGTGCTCTATTCTCGATATGTGGCCATACCTCAATTACGCTACATAAAATCGTTCTTATACTTTTAGCTAGACATCAAATCCATATTATTATTAACGGTACAATGACTACAGATATTGAATTATAAGACTAATTTATTTTCTAATTGATTCACTTTAGATTACATAACAAAAAATGTAATTGAAAAACTATATGGACCGCCGTCCGTTGGTCTGTGCGTCGGTGAGTCTTCTCGCTTAATAGAAATGTAAGCAATAGATTGAAATATATAGTATTAAATAAGAATCTATTGCATTCTAAGCAGGATCCTTATTGATTTTTGTTATTGAACTCGTTTAAAAGTTATTTACTTTTTTCATCAAAATAAAAACGCTTATGAGGCGTGCACTTTGGATTTTCCAAACTATTTTATTAATATCTTATTTTAGGTGACAAAATATTACCATAATCAAAAACACAGCTACAGAGTGTTTCCCACCGGCAATTGATTCCCATTAGTTTCATAATCGCACTATAGATCAGTATTTAAATTACAATAATGGTTAGGTTTTCAAACAAGAAATAATTATTTGAAAAAAAAAAAATACTATACATTTAAATTTTTTTTTACTCAACATGAATTATGCATTTAAACGCTGCAGCTAAATTATAAGATCTAGTCTTCATTTGTTAAATTTGAATTTCGCAAGGAATAGGTCAATTTCACTATTTTCTTATTAGGCCTAAATATTTGTTTAAAAATTAAGCTTATGATATTTTTTTTACTTTTTAACCAATAACGGCCGTAATTATTGTTAAGGTCACTAACAACGTTTATTTTACTAAGTCGGTAAAACATTATTTTTATATTTAGTTAAGTATGAGAATGGGGTTCTTTTAACGTCCGGAATGTTTCCTTCCATACGTATTGGAAGCTTTTTGACGCCTCCTTACATATCTTGCCTTTAATAGAACCTTATATGTAGGAAGACTGCCTTTATTAGTTACATTTTATATTAATTGGCTTGTATACTTTGTTTGGTCATTACCAAGAAGTGCTAAACTGTAAAGAAAAAAAAAGCAATCAACGTAGTTTAAGAGTAACATAAGTTGCTAATTATATAAGTAGGTAGTGCAAAACCCGTCTGAGAGAGTAGTTGGAAAGTTGCAAATATACGACAATATTTTAATAATGTCGTATAGTGAATAGTTTTATCACTAAAAATACGCATTGTAATTGACACTGAATATTTTTTCTAGTCTCCTAGATGTGTCTTTCTTTAGGAGGATAGGTTATGTCTAAAAAAGAACACAAGAAAACACTTTTAGACAAGAAAATAATTCTATAACATACTAAGATTATCATTAGAAATGATTGTGATTTAAAAAGCATATTCATGTTGAAATATCAGGGGATGCCTCTACTGTTGGGTTGCCCTATGCCACGAGCATATCACCACCCATAGACTAAGCAAAGTTGCCAAATGTAAATACAATATCGGATTAAGTTAACGTTAGGTATTTTTGGCTAGATGTCAAACTTAGGTTGTGAACACATCATTTGATTTTGTTAAATTGTATATTTAAAATGGCCTAATTAATATATTTATTGTTGTTTTATGCCAAACATGTGTACAGGCTGAGATGATGTTAAAGAAGTTAATAGGTAATTGTATAATATGAAGCTTGTTATACGTTACGTCATTTTGTAAATAAATGCGCTTACATTTTTACATGGTTCAAATGTTATATTTTTTAATACAAACTATGCAATTGCTTGTTCCAATTTATTTATTGTATAGCTTTGTATACAAGACATTGATGTGTTCACAACTTTATTGTATAATAAATTATATTATAAGATAGATAAATCTTAGATTCTTTAATTATAGCAAATAGAGACGTTAGTATTA